CTGTGCGCTGGGTCCCCAGGCTGGTGAATGCACATTGATGCCGTGGGTGAGCGCAGTGTGCTGGGTCCCCAGGCTGGTGAATGCACATTGATGCCGTGGGTGAGCGCAGTGTGCTGGGTCCCCAGGCGTGCTTGGCTTCCTCTGGCTGAGAAGGCGGGGCAGTAACAACACAGGGCATCTGTTTCCTGAATGCCATCCTCTGTAGGGGAAAGAACTGCAGATCTTTCTAGAGCTGCGAAGGCTCTAGCTCTCTCCCTCACCTCTGGCTCGGGTAATGGCTTTATTCCCCTAATGATAATAAAAAATTACAACGACGCATCTCCAGAAAGCACAGTTTGATGTTCCGTGGACGCCTCTGCCCACCTCGGAGGCCTTGATTTCAGCCCCCTGCCACCTTCTTGGTCTTGGTCACTCTTAAATGTTTATTTCCACTTCTTTCTCCTGACCTCCAGATTCTTCTAGGTGGGAAAGCTGTCCTGCAGGGCCTCAACTTAGCAAGGTAGCACTTGCTGTTGGGGTCCACTGGGTGAAATCAGCCTGCCGGACTTACCCCAAGAGTACTTTGTGGCCACTGTGTGTTGTATTTACAGTTGCCTATTTGGGGTCCTGGGAGGGTTCCAGGAGCAGACAGGCAGGTGCATCTCCTCCAGGCCACTGCAGTGGGGCATGGGAGCCATTGTGCCCAGTCACCACAATGACCACTTCCCCACTGGGACCAGCCCCTCTCTGGACAGATGGAGGTTGCGTTTTCCTTTCGTGTGCCCTGGTCTGAGAAGTGCGGGCCGTTCAGGCCGTCTTGTCTTCCCCTTTAATGGTGTGAATAGGCCGAGCAGGTGCAGGAGCCGATTTCACAAACCCCCTTGTGCCCCCAGGAGGAGCAGGTGCAGAGGGTGACTGGGAAACGCCGCCCTGGCTGTGTGTGCCCAGGGAGCTGATGAGGAGAGCACAAAGTGGGCACAGAGGCCAGGGGCGTGTCCACTCTGCTCTCCCTGGCCAGGAGAGAGGAAATGGGTCTGTCTGCACTGCAGCGGCCTGGAAGAGAAAGGATTCTCACTTCCCCTAAACTTGCTACTGAAGCCGTGTTTCACTTGCTCAAGGGAAATTCTGTTTTCCTCCCTCCTTTCAGGAAGAAGCGCGTTGCTGAGTCGATGCCGCCGTGCAGCCTGTTTGCTTGAGACAGAAGCTTCGGCATCTGGAGGGAGAAACATGAGGTCTTAGCAGCTTCACCAGGAGGCGACTTTCGAGATGGCGGCTCAGCGGATCCGAGCTGCCAACTCCAACGGCCTCCCGAGATGCAAGTCAGAGGGGACCCTGATCGACCTGAGCGGAGGGTTTTCTGAGACGAGCTTTAATGATGTCAAAGGTGAGCTTCTGAGGAATAGGCCTGCAGCTGGGGGGAGACTGGGATTTGATAATGTCCTCGGGCCCATGAACTTTCTTGCTTTTTAAAAGGCTCCCTCCCTGTTTGTTTTTCTGATAATTAAATTTCAGCTCCCTGCCCTCCATCGTGTTGTCGTTTTGGCCCTGGAACAGTAGTCACTTGTCTTGTTCTTTGGTGTGTTGGGAGGAGGTTTTGAATGTCTCCCTTAATAGGAAATTCCTTCTTAATACAGAAAATGTTTGTTTTCACTTGAGGTACAAAAACCTAGGGGAAGGAGGGGGCAGTGGGTAATGAAATGCTCAGAACCACGGAGAACACAGACAGGAGTCAGCATGCTTTCTCCGTGAAGGGTCTGATAGGACCGAGTGGATAATTTACGTTTGCAGGCCATGCCCTCTCTGTCACAGCTATCCAACCCTGGTCTCAGGGCGAGTGCAGCTCTAGAAATAGACAAATGGACGTGGCTGTGTTCCAGGACAACTTTATTTACAAAAACTGACAGTTGCATTTGGCCCAGGGGCTGTGGTTTGCCAACTCCGGGGCCAGCAGGCAGCCCCAGGGTTTAATAACCTTGCTGGCTCCCTGCTTCCAGCCGCCTCAAAGTTGGGCTGATGGGAAGACCTGACTTTTGGATGCCAAGGTGGAGACCCACACAGGGTTCTCTTCCCAGAAGTCTGCCATGGCAGGACACCCTCCTGCACGCTCCCCAGTGCCCCCTTCATCACAGCATCCATGGCATTGCTGTAAATGCTCTTTACGAGAAAAGACAACAGAAGGAACCAGGAGATTTTATTAGTAAGATAGTAGCAGGGTTATTGGGTTCCGTGGTTTCAGATTCCCATGATGTACTGTGCCTTCTTACTTTCTAACCCAGCTAATCAGAGTTCAAGCCAGGAGATGGGAGCATCAGTTGTGCAGTTTGGGCCTTAAGGCCAGAGGCAGAGAGCTGAATTTAAAAAAAATAATAATAATGATCTGGGAGGTGATTCTGGCTACTTATAAAAGAATACCTTAGTTAAGGGAGGAAGACCCAGGCAGCTTTAGTGTGAGTACAGGCTAGTGTCCTTGGGAAGAAGGGCATTTGGGAATGGCAGTTGGCAGGATTGGTCCACAGACCCTCTGGACTCGACTGCTGAACAGTCCAGGCAGCGCTACATCCCAGTGATAGACAGACTTCCAAGTGGGAGTTTATTCCAGCTGAAATATCTGCTGTGGGATCTTGTGCTCTGATAAATGTTTTGCTATAAGAACTGAGTCTGAGAGAGAGGGAGTTTATTGTTCTGGGCACTCAACTTCCTTAAGCCTGGGGAGTTTCTTTGAATTAAAATCGAGGTAGCTGTGGCTCTGGGCAGCACTTCTCAGAATTCATTAACATGGAATTCAAAAGGGATTTTTTTGGCAATTGAGGAGTGGACGCCCTTCCCTGGTGTCCTGGGTGCTTGGTGGCAGTTGGCAGATGGAAGGCCTCTTCTAGAAGGGAGTCCACACCTCCCTGGGGGTCCTGAAGGGAAAGTGGGCAGCTGCCCCTTGGAAGACCCTGACCCTTGAGTGAAACCTATTACTGCTTCTCTTCTAAGGAAAGGGCTTGGAATTTTAAGTAAAACATTTTTTGTCTTTAGTCTGGCTAAACAAAGAAAAAGTAAAAGCTTAAATGATCAGTTTGCATTCATAGATTTTAGGCTACATACAAAGCTTGCTTAATTGTTTTGGTTTTTAATTTTGAAAATATTACTGTAAGGAATTTATTCTGGGCAAGCATAATGATATATGTACCTTTTGAAGGGTTCTAACAAGATTTTAATGGCTGGCAAGCTTTAATTTTCATTTGATTTTACTTTTTATGTGACATTTCCAGTAGATGTGTCAAGGACACAAAACCGTTCCTGTCACTGAGGGTGAGGACAAGTTGGGAGAACCAGCCCTTGGCCCGTCCTCGCCATTGAACCCATTTTCTCTCATCGTTTTTGCTCCCTCCCATCCCATGCTAAGTGAGCTGTCTCTGTCCTGACATGATTTCATAGCATAAGGGCACAGCCAGGGGAGTTCAGACTTTGCTTTGGCCAACAGTGACGTGGTCCGGGAACATGGATGTGCCTTTGCATGAGGCACCAGGGATACAACAGCGAACAAAACAGGCTCCCTTGATGCTTATACCCTGATGGGGTGTAAGCTTAGTCCTCCCCACATCCCCACATCCCCACCATCCCCAAGTCAAAACAAATACAGGAAAAACATCTTTTCCTTCTGCTCTCTGATTCTTGGCTTGGGCTCCTGCAAAAAGGCAGATGAATGAGAGAAAAGCATGAAAACTTACTTAACATAACGTGCATACATTACAGAAATATTGCACGTATAGTCCATTGTAAGGAAACGAAGACCCAGAGAGACAGGTAAACCTGGGTGTTTTTATCCCAGGTCTGATGACGCATGGAGAGTTGTGGAGAAAGGTGATAGGACAGCACAAAGATGAGCCCAGTGTGGTTTAGTGAACAAGGGGAGCGGCAAGGGCTGAGCATTCAGGTCCCTGCGTCCATGAGGATGCTCTGTCCTCTGGGCATAGGGAGGGCGCCTCTCTCAGGAGGGTCTCAAGACCTGCTTGGGGGGTGGGCCAGAGAGTCCTCCCTGTCCCTGCTGTTTCTCAAATTCCTTCAACTTTAGATATTCATATTTGGGGGGTGACATGTTCTGAATACCCTCGGGTGGTGATCAGAGCTATGGAAAAGATAACATTAGGAGTGGGGTGGAGGTGTCTTTTCACATGACACATGGTGAGTCCTTAGCACCTCGGTAGCATCTCGTTTCATCCCCACTGAAGCCCATGGAAGAAAGACACTTGCTCTCTGTCATGAAGAATCTCAGCTCCAGAGACACAGGCTTCTAAGGGCTTCAGTGCAAGGCCAAGTCTTATGATCCCAAGGCCACGTTCTCTGCAACACTCCAGACAGACGCTGCAGTTGTACGGGAGGCTGCCAGACCCAGGCATGCTCCCTGCCAAGCACGTGTCTGTATCCTCATTCACGTACATGAACAGAAATTTCTTGCTTGATTTCCTAAGACTTTGCCAAGGAGATATAATTTAATTTTCATTATTTTTTTCCAAAGGGGAAGGAAATTGGCAGATGATTGTTACTTTGCACTTGATAGAATGGGATGACTGTTGACTTAATTACATATTGAGAAGATGTAGGTTTAGTTCAACTAAAAATACAGTCTTTTCTTCGCTCATTTGCATAGGCAATTTAAAAAAAAATGTACCCTTTCTTTCAATTGCTTGTTACAGGAAGCCTGAATAATATCAGCAAATTCTGTAAAAACAAAAAGCAATTGGGGAGGGTCTTAGGAAGAAGTGTTTTGGCTTATTTTCAGCAGAAAGAACTTTCTGCAACTTCTGAATATCCTTTCACTTATGTGGGAGGGAGAGAAAACCATTGGGTATTTAATCATATCCATTATTTTTCAAACACACACCAGCTATTAAGGTGATTCTTTTTTGCCATTTCAGTCGCTGTCCACCTTGGTAACATAACGTAGTTTAATGCCAAAACTGTAATTAACTTGATGTCACCTTTTAAAGTGTTGGAGTTTGTCAGACTGTTTAAACACTGGTTTGATAGTATCGTGAACCAGACATAACCCCTGATTTTCAAAGTAGGTGGACAGTCCGTTCTCATGTGGTGGTTTTGAGTGATCATTTAAGAGAAGTTGAAAAAGACTGATCTCAGAAATTATGTTTGATCTGAAACAGTTTAGTTGCTGTGAGCAGTAGGTTGAGGAACAGCGCCCAATTGTCCCAGGAATCTTCCCCCATGTCTGTCTTCTGTGTTAAAGGCAGAACTTGGGATTGGCTCTCACACATTATCGAAACATTTTTGAGACTGTTCATTTCCAGTTCCATGGTGAAAGCAGTGAGTCGCCTAACTCAAAACATCCCCATGTTCTGTGAGTCCGTCTCATGCAGCTTCTCTTTGTACCTAGTTGCAATTCTATTAAGTTAGATAAATAAAACCTGGGTTAGAATGAAGTGCTTAGAAGGTAGGGGTGTGGTACACATCGCATTGGACTGATCTGCCTTCCTGTGGATGAGTGGAGACTCTGATCTGTCGAGTTGGAAGGTGACCGTGTGGGAACGACGTCCCCTGGAAGGTGACCGTGTGGGAACGACATCCCCTGAGCAGGACACTGGCCCTGCGAATCACTCGGAACCTCTCGGGGTTGTCTTGTCGACGTGTTGTATCCGTGCTGGTTGTCAGCCAGGTCTGTCTCTCACACCACCTTTCTCCCTACTTTGTGAGCTGTCCCCTGGCCCCCCGCTGGCCCTCCCCTTACTGTCTGTCTCTTTGTTTTATGCAGTGCCTTCTCCCAGTGCCTTGCTAGGAGACAGCCCCATACCTTTTGGAAACGCGAAGGAGGTGATTGCCATCAAGGACTATTGCCCAACCAACTTCACCACCCTGAAGTTCTCCAAGGGGGACCACCTGTACGTGTTGGACACGTCGGGCGGCGAGTGGTGGTACGCCCACAACACCACTGAGATGGGGTACATCCCTTCCTCCCACGTGCAGCCCTTAAACTACCGGAACTCAACACTGAGTGACAGCGGGGTCATCGACAACCTGCCAGATAGCCCGGACGAGGTCGCCACGGAGTTAGAGCTGCTCGGGGAGTGGCCGGATGACAAGCAAGTGCTGGGGAGAACTCACAGTAACAACCCTTTCTGGAACGGGGTCCAGACGAACCCATTTCTGAACGGGAGCGTGCCTGTGACACCCAGCTTGGGTGAGCTGAACCCCAAAAGCACTGTGGATTTGCTGCTCTTTGATACCGGCACGTCCTCGTTTACGGAATCCAGCTCGGCCACCACAAACAGCACGGGCAACATTTTTGATGAGCTTCCAGTCCCAAATGGACTCCTGGCAGAACAGCCGGCCAAGCGGGACAACCCCTTCTTCAGGAGCAAGCGCTCCTACAGCCTGTCGGAGCTCTCCGTCCTCCAAGCCAAGGCTGACACCCCTATATCCTCAAGTTTTTTTACAGGGCTGAAATCACCTGCTCCTGAGCAGTTTCAGAGCCGGGAGGATTTCCGAACCGCTTGGCTGACCCACCGCAAGCTGGCCCGGTCATGTCATGACTTGGACTTGCTTGGCCAAAGCCCTGGCTGGGGGCAGACCCAGGCTGTAGAGACGAACATTGTGTGCAAGCTGGACAGTTCCGGGGGCGCCGTGCAGCTCCCCGACACCAGCATCAGCATCCACGTGCCGGAGGGTCACGTGCCCCCTGGGGAGACGCAGCAGATCTCCATGAAAGCTCTGCTGGACCCCCCACTGGAGCTCAGTAGTGACAAATCCAGCAGCATCAGCCCTGTATTAGAGGTCAAACTCAGCAACCTGGAAGTAAAAACCTTCCTCATCTTGGAGATGAAGGTTTCTGCTGAGGTGAAAAATGACCTTTTTAGTAGAAGCACAGTGGGCATCCAGTGCCTGAGGAGTGACTCGAAGGAAGGGCCATACGTCTCCATCCCACTCGCCTACAGCTGTGGGGACACAATCCAGGTCCAGCTGGACAACCTGGAGCCCTGCATGTACCTGGCCGTCGTTGCCCACGGCCCGAACATCCTCTACCCTTCCACCGTCTGGGACTTCATCCATAAAAAAGTCACAGTGGGTCTGTACGGCCCCAAACACATCCACCCGTCCTTCAAGACAGTGGTGACCATTTTCGGTCATGACTGTGCCCCAAAGACCCTCCTGGTCAGCGAAGTCACCCGTCAGGCCCCCAGCCCCGCCCCCGTGGCCTTGCAGCTGTGGGGTAAGCACCAGTTCATCTTGTCCAGGCCCCAGGACCTCAAAGTCTGTATGTTCTCCAACATGACCAATTACGAAGTGAAGGCCGGCGAGCAGGCCAAAGTCGTGCGGGGCTTCCAGATGAAGCTGGGCAAGGTCAGCCGCCTCATCTTCCCCATCACCTCCCACAGCCCCAGCGAGCTCTCCGACTTCACACTGCGGGTGCAGGTGAAAGATGACCAGGAGGCCATCCTGACCCAGTTCTGTGTCCAGACTCCCCAGCCGCCCCCCAAAAGTGCCATCAAGCCATCTGGGCAAAGGAGGTTTCTCAAGAAGAACGAAGTCGGGAAAATCATTCTGTCCCCCTTCGCCGCCACCACCAGGTACCCGACCTTCCAGGACCGCCCAGTGTCCAGCCTCAAATTCGGGAAGCTGCTGAAGACCGTGGTGCGGCAGAACAAGAACCACTACCTGCTGGAGTACAAGAAGGGCGACGGCATCGCGCTGCTCAGCGAGGAGCGCATCCGGCTCAAGGGGCAGCTGTGGACCAAGGAGTGGTACATCGGCTACTACCAGGGCAGGGTGGGCCTCGTGCACGCCAAGAACGTGCTGGTGGTGGGGAAGGCCCGGCCCAGCCTGCTCTCGGGGCCTGAGCTGAGCACCGCCGTGCTGCTGGAGCAGATCCTCAGGCCCTGCAAGTTCCTCACCTACATCTACGCCTCCGTGAGGACCCTGCTCATGGAGAACATCAGCAGCTGGCGTGCCTTCGCCGACGCCCTGGGCTACGCACACTTGCCGCTCACCTTCTTCTGCCGGGCAGAGCTGGACAGCGAGCCAGAGCGGGTGGCGTCCGTTCTGGAGAAGCTGAAGGAGGACTGTAATGACGCCGGGAACAAGGAGCGGAAGTCGTTCCAGAAGGAGCTCGTGATGGTGAGTGCTTGGCGGCTGCTGGGCCGGCGAGCATGGGGCTCCGGGCGTGGGGCAGGGTCTGAGGCTGATGTTCAGCTGCCTGGTGTACACAGGCAGGTGTGAAGTGTGCGAGATGGGCATCCACAGGGGTTCCCGCAGGCCCCGGGCCACTCAGACACTGAGTTGGGGGCAGCATTCCCCTGTATCTTCTCTCTGTGTCTGGGGGCTCCTCAGCAATCTCAGAGTGGACCCGGTTGGGGTGCGGGGGGTGGGGGGTGCGCAGGGGCAGAGCAGACCTGTGTCTCTTGGGAGCAGATCTCAGGTTCATCAGATTCCCAGAGGGGTCTGTGACTTAAAAGCTTTAAAAGTTTTCAGGCCCTTTTCTTGCTTGAAGCTTCCAACCCCTGTGTGTAGTTCCTCCTCCTCTGCCCCCTTGGTACTGGGCCGAGAAAGAGGAATCGTAAGAAATAAAAAGGGGGAAGTACATGTTACACTCGGGGGTTCACCCTGTCTTCTGAAGCCCCAGCTGTGTCTGTGGTAGACGTCTTGCATCAGCGTCCTCCATCAACATCTTCCTGTGATGGAGTAGAGTCTGGCTGTCCTCCCGGAGGGCCCATCGCCACTTTAGATTCCCGTGGGGAAATCCTTGCAAACACTTCCTGTTCCATTGGCCCCATCCAGGCTCTCTCACCTCCCGGCTTCTGACTCTCGGTGCCCCTGCCTTTCTGCCAGCTCTCCTCCCCTTCCCCCACCCAGTGTCTGCACTTCCGTGAGCCAGGTATATCTGGGAGGGCCTGGGGGTGCTCATGGCGACACAGGTGTGTGGCTAAAAGTCTAACCCTGTGCACACCCATCTCTCGATTACCTGAGTTGAGCTAAGGAGACGAGGAGGGGTGACCAAGACACGGCCACAGTACAGAATGGGGCGTGAGGAAGACCCTCTGGCAGCCTCCCACGGTAATGTGCAGCGCTAGACATGGGTAGGGGGATGGGCTGGTAAGCGGTTGTTAGAGGGGGAGGTCGGTAGAGAGAAAGTGGATGTGGCAGCCCCAGGTGGGGTACACCCTTAGGGTTAATGCACAGACCGCCCTCAGCCACCACCCACGTGTGGTACAAAGCACATCTAGCCCACTTGTGAGATAACTTCCAGAAGCTGCACCAGATCCTATGACTGGTCTCTCCCTGGGTGGACCCAGCACAGTGGAGGGAAGATGGACCACTGTCTCAAGAGCCTGCAGGCTGGCGTTGCCCTTGACCGTGGAGCTACGTGTACTCCCAGAGCCTGGCAACAACCTAAACAGCCTCACCAGCTGTGGAAAAATAACAAACTCTTTTTATCTAAGTTGGCAGACCTGGGGAGAGGGTGTTCTGGGTGGCTTCCTTGGGTCCTCTCCCGTGAGGGACGGATGGGCCTGTGGGCCCTGGAGGAGGAAGTGGGACTCGCCCTTGGCCAGGACAGCTCCCGGAGGTGAGGTCAGCTTTTGTGGTAAGAAAGGGAAACTGGTTTCGCAGTTCTCTCTGCCCCCCGCCCTCAGCACCTTTCTCCGTCATCATCTTGGCAGAGCTTCTAGAAACCAGAGCCAGATTCATCCCAGCCCCTGTGAGGAGTCTCTGCAAACCAAGTGTTTTATTTCTACTGAACCGTCGAGTTCCCCACAGCCACTGCCACTGCTCTACCTGCCCCTCCTTGGCGAGTCACAGCCAGGCCACGCCCCATGTCCCCCCTTCCTGTTTGTGGGTGTGCTTTCCGTTTAGTTGTTAGGACTCTTGGCTTGGAAACCAAGGGTTTAAATGGACGAGAGAAGGTAAAGGTTTGGGACAGTTTGCAGGGAAATAAGCAGGAAAGGAGCCAAATTACAACTGAGCTGCTCAGGTCCCCCTCCCCGCCCACAAGGCCCTGTCAGATCCACCCATCCCGCCTCGCCCCAGGCCCCACCCCCTCCTTCTCTGCCTCACATCCCCCGCACCTGCTGGGGCTTTTGTGGGTCTGGTCCTCTGCCCAGACCTCTCCTCAGTCTACCAGGCTGGCTGCTCACCATCTTAAGTACAGGGGGCCTTTCCTGCAACCCTGTGCACCCCCCCCATGCACCTTGCCGTCCCTGTCATTGTCTTCACAGAGGTTTCTTGAGTCACTGTGAGTCCTGTTTATTACTTATTTGTCTTTATTACCCTAATTGGACATTGTCCCATGAGAGGAAGGACCCTGGCACTTAGGGAAGGGAACACCCAGACGTTCAATGAATGAGTATCTGATGGAGGAGTGAATGAATGAATATCTGACAGAAAAGTGAATGAATGAATGAATGAGTGAATGAATGAGTATCTGATGGAGGAGTGAATGAATGAATAGCTGATGGAATCAAATGAATGAATGAGTGAATATCCAGCTGGAGAGTGAATGAATGAATATCTGATGGAAGGGAATGAATGAATATCTGACAGAAAAGTGAATGAATGAGTGAATATCTGACAGGAGTGAATGAATGAGTATCTGATGGAGGAATGAATGAATAAACATCCGATGGAGCCAAATGAATGAATGAGTGAATATCCAGCTGGAGAGTGAATGAATGAATATCTGACGGGAGGGAATGAATGAGTGAATATCTGACAGGAGTGAATGAATGAGTGACTATCTGACAGAAAAGTGAATGAATGAATGAGTGAATAGCTGACAGGAGTGAATGAGTGAATATCTGACAGGAGTGAATGAATGAGTATCTGATGGAGGAATGAATGAACAAACATCCGATGGAGCCAAATGAATGAATGAGTGAATATGTGACAAAGGAAGAGTGAAGGGTGAGTGTAGGCCCCTCCCCAGCTGGGAACCTGCGGAACGCATTCCCATGTGGTCATGCCATGCTCCCGTTCTCTGGTTTCCTTCCCTCTATTCCTTGTCCCTGCTTTCAGGGCCACAACTGTCCATGGTGGCACAGGACACCCCCAGGCACTACTGAAAGTCGGGCACAGCTACACTGACCCAGGAAAGGCCTCTGTGCTGAGGGAGCCCACGGCTGAGAGACTCTGGGACTCACACCTCATATTTAAGAGCTCTTGAAGTCATATTCTGGTGTTGGAGGCAGGACAGGCTGATTGTATAGGAGACCAGGACAGAGTGGTCAGCATCTCTGCAGGGCCTCTAGATGAGCTTCTAGAGATCAGGCCTCCACCTGCAGAAGGTGGGAGCCAACCTCCTCGGGATAGACCCGAGAAGGGCCTTCTGGGTGTGGGGGGCTGGAGGACATGCAGGAGCCCCTCCATGGGGAAGGCTGCCAGGTCAGAGGCCACACCAGGGGCAGGGGGCAGGGGCACTGTGGGTGATTAGGGAAGATGCGCTGGGTACAGTGGAATGAAGCCTCCTGGGCCGGGTAAGGCCTGCTTTTACCCTGGGCGCATTAGGAGGGTCTGCAGGCTCTAGGGGAGTGATGGGGGGCCTGTGGGTCCCTCCCAGGCCAGGCGGCATGTGACCTGGGGGTGTCTGCCCCGCTGTCTCTCGGTGTTCAGTGTCTTTTACACACAGCACCGGGGTCTCAGGAGGGGCTGGTCTTCATCTCATCCCTCATTCCTGGATTCTCCTATTGCTCAGGGAATACGTGTAGCTTTGTTTTGGCACCCACCGTATTTCTTCAAACAGAAGTCGGCAAACAATGGCTGTGTGCCCCCTGTTTGTATGTGAATTGTCCGTGGCTCCCTTCAGGTCAGATTGGCTAAGATCTTGTGGCCGCCAAAGCCAGGAATATTTGCTATCAGTCCCTTTATAGCTAACGTTCGGTCATCCTGACTTATGTCATGGTCATCGACAGTCAGCATTGTCGTCATCCTGCGGGGTGTGGTCTGGGGTCCCTGTGTGCTCAGAAACTAAAGGGGAAGCCACTCGAGAGCATTCTCAGAACTGGATCCCCGTGCTGTGAAATTTTTCTCTTACTAAGGCTTGAGTTGGCACCCCAAATTTGCCCTTTAAAAAAATGCATAAATGTATCCCGTGTTGATGATGCGGACAGCTCTATAATAAACCAAACCGGCCCTGGGTTCAGCACAGTAGAGCTGGGCGCATGGACGAACGGTGCCTTCCATCCCTGTCGGAAATGCCCACCTCCTCATTGGTTGAGCTCTGTGGAAAGGGAACCTGGGCTTTCCCTGGGTAGGGTCTGGGCACATCCTTCCCCAGCTAGGGCCAGTCAGGGGCGGAGGGCAGCTTGCCTTTCTCAGGACCTGTGTATACTGTGCCCGGTGTCTCCGAGGTCAGAGCGGCTTTGACTGCTCATGCCAGGAATGACTCAGATCAGAAGCAGGTGACTTTGACGTGTTCTCTTACCTGGAAAATGAGGCTGTTCTGGAGCCAGGCAGCAGAGCGCACCGCTACATGCTAGACCTGTCTCTGACCTTCCCAGGATGAGGCTCCCACGGCACCAAAAAACTTAGAATCTGGCCTCCAGGTTCATCACACTTCCTCCCTGTACATGTGAATACATGCATATGCTCTGTGTAATTCTGAAACACAAATCTAGTAAGCATTTAATTTTTTAAACATAATTTCTTTTGAATTTGTTCAAATTGAAATTGAAACAGACCATTTTCTGGATTATATACGTAGTGGACCTGAAATCTAATCCAGACCAGTGTTTTATTTGGTTCAGGTCCTGATGCCACATGGTACCCACAGAGCTGGAAAGGCCACTGGCCAAGGGCCAGGAAGTCGGTGTCTGCCCACTGCAGTCACTTCCAGCCATGAGACCCTGGACAGGCCACGGTGTGGTGGTGTCTCTTGCTTATCTGTAAAACCACAGGGTGGGGAGGAGCGTAGGGCAGGTGGCCTAAGGAGCTCTGGCTCTGATGTCACTTGCTGTGGAATTAGAACCCACACATCCTTCCTCTCGGCTTCATCTGTACAGTGGGCTGACTCGGCACCTGCTTCCTGGGGGCTTCTCAGGAGTAGCCAAGCTCAGTGCCTGGCTGGCAACAAGTTCTGGGGTTCATGGTGGCTTATTAAAAAACAGGAAAGGACCACGTGGTCTTCGCACCGCCTCTGGCCAACCACATTGATAGCCAGTGGCCCACCTCTCTGATCCGTAGGCCTCAGATTGACCCATCCACACTCATGGGTTATTATTATTTTTTTTAATCTAGAACGATTTGAGAAGCTGGGTGTCTAACAGGATTTTTACTCACCCAGTTCACCAAAAAATTTACCATTCCTCTGTATCATTAGGCTCCCCCCAAGCACACAGTGTGCATTAGACACTCGGCTCCAACTAGCTGTGCGTACTGCAGCCGGCACACTGGCTCGGGACTGACTGGCCGCCCTCACTCCCAGCATGGTTGGCCCCAGAGCACTCGCGCCAGCCGGCCATGTGGTGGAGGGGGTGGGGTGGAGTTATTAATATATTTTTTTTCAAAGCACACTCTCATTGGATTTCTACAATGACAGCCTTTGGCGCTCAAGCAGAGCACAGAGAGAAGGGCACCAGGCCTGGTGACTTTTCTGTCTTAGCGTCCCTGTGGTCTGATCCCACCAGAAACCGTATCTAGGCGTGCCTGGGAGCCCAGCTCTCCCAGGAAGCCTCATCTTTCCCCATGGCTGGATGGCTTTTAGGGTGAGGATGGGGCTGCTCCTGTTGGACCCGCTCAGAGCCCTGCACTAACCAACTTTGGCCTCCTCTGTCATTAGGATCAGCCAGAGCCTTCTGCGGACACCCTCTGTAGACACCGGGCCTGGTCTCAGCCTGGGCATCAGGCTGCAGCTGTGGGGCTGGCCTGCCGAGCTTTGTTCTTTCAAGCTAGGAATGTTAGTTTGGCCCCGGCCTGGGGTTGCACAGGTGTGACCCGTGCTTTAGGAACTGCACTGGCCAAGCAGAGCGCCCTCCCGATGCCTCCTTTCCAGGCGAGGGGCGTTCCTTTGCCCAAGTCCCTCTGTAGTTACAGTCTTTGTCCTAACGCACACTAGGAAATGCTTGCAGCATTGATGAGGCCGTGTTGGTTGTGGAAAATGTTTCCTGCTGTTTCAATCCCAGGAAGAATTTTCTGCTCCCTGCCTTTCTTGGCAGTGCACTCTCCACTTCTGCTGTGTGGGCCACTTTGTCCTCTTCATCCTTCTCCCTACATAGAGTTCGCCAGTCTGAGGCTCTTCTAGCTCCTGACTGGTGTCACCAGCACGTCACACTCAGCAGGTGTGGTCTGTCTGCTGACAGTCCTCTCTCTCCCCGCCTCCCTCTCTCCATCCTCCTCCCACTCTCTTTCTCCCCCCACTCTCCCCAGTGAGAGTGGGAGCAGGATGAACAACTATAATCTATATTCACTAGTTTCCCAGAGCTACCAAGATAAATGACCGCACCTGGGGGTCACAGACAGCCATACACTGCCACAGTTCAGGAGGCCGCCCATCCATAATCAAAGAGGGGTCACAGACAGGCATTCACTCTCACAGTTCAGGAGGCCGCCCATCCAGAATCAAAGAGGGGTCACAGACAAGCATTCACTCTCACAGTTCAGGAGGCTGCCCATCCAGAATCAGAGTCTTCAGGGTGGGTTTCCTCCAGGGGCTCCAGGTGTCTGTTGCAGGCCTCTCCCCAGCCGCTGGTGGCTGCCTCACTTGGCGTCTGCCTCTGTCTTCACCTGCCTCCTTCCCCATGTCTGTCTCTGTCCTTTTCTCATAAAGATACCACTCGTTGGTGACCCCCGACTCCACTAGGACCTCATCTTAACTAATTGTACCTGCAAAGGTCTTAGACCTCCCAAGCAAGGTCACATTTCAAGGTTCCACAGGATGGGTGTGGGTTTTAGCAGAGCACTGCCCGTCACCTCCCTCCTGTGAGTCCCAGCTCTACTGGACATCCAGGACAGGCCCGAGACCTTTGGAGCCCATCACCCTCTTGGCACCAACTCTGCACTGGGGTCCCCATGAGCTGGAGCCCTGCCCTGCTCTGCCCTGCCCTGCCTCACTGTGCCTCCTTTGCAGGCCTTGCTGAAGATGGACTGCCAGGGCCTGGTGGTCAGGCTCATCCAGGACTTTGTGCTCCTGACCACAGCTGTGGAGGTAGCGCAACGCTGGCGGGAGCTGGCCGAGAAGCTGGCCAAGGTCTCCAAGCAGCAGATGGACGCCTATGAGTCTCCCCACAGGGACAGGAACGGGGTCGTGGACAGTGAGGTGAGTGGTAGCTGAGCTCCATGGTCACTCTGCCCCTCTCTCGATCTGCGCAGCTCTGTGATGAAAGGTCTACTACACGGTGTTCCCATGAGGACGAGATGTGTTGGAGCATGTGAGCCTACCCAGCACGCGGTGCACCCTGCGTCCTCCTCAGAGTATTGTCCAGGGCCCCACTTCCCC